TGGCAACATATATACGAATGTGCTGGACACAATTGATGTATGTACGGATTGTGAAAAGAGTTGTATGAGCCCCTAATAAAATGATTAAAAAACAACAACAACAACAGCAACAAAAGCCTGTAAATAGTTCAAGGTCTGTTTGTTGACCTTTAGGAGTGCTTTCCTGTTGAGTCTGATGGGGTGCCGTGCCCTGGCCCCACAGTCTATTTTTGGTATTCCCTGGGGACTTCGTTGCTCTGTTCCCCTTGCTGTTCTGTTGCATACCACCCTTAGTGTTTCACCTCAGCGTGGTGGGGTCAGATGGGGCACAATTCCCGCACTGTCCCCCTTAGCGCTATGGGTCAGTGAGGGACGTCATTGTCTCCTGGTGGGGCCAGCCCTATGGTCCTCTTATTTCTGTTCTTTCAATACTTAACATCAAGACAGAAGGCATTCAGCCCAGAAGTGTGGGCCTTAGACTTCTCTGACATGGGCCTCTCCCCATGTCATGAAACTTAGTCCACTGGTAGGACTGGCTTCCTTCGTACTCTGCCCTGTTCTGTGTGGTTAAAAATGTCCTGGACTTTTCCTTACAGAAAGCTTAAGTGGCAGAATGCTGCAAGGCCAGGAAACTGGTGCCCAGAGATCCTGAGCCTTGTAGCTTGTGGCTCCTAACTTGCTAAATTGTGACGTGCCAGGAATTACCCTGAATGTTTTTATAGTTTTGGTTTATGTGGATTTCTCAAATAAGTTGAAAAAGTGGTAACATTACGTATACAACTTTCACTTGAGGAACCTCGCATTATATTTAAACATCTTGATTCTTTTAGAATCAAGGTTTTTTAAAACCTTACTTGGCCTCAGCAATTAAACCTTAGATCATACATAATCCCTAGGTAATTATAAAGTCATAACTGCCTAATGATAGAATTAACATACATACAAAAACATGCATAGTCCCTTTTTTATATTTTATGAGTAATGGGGTCAGGGAAAAAAATATTTACACACACACACTAAAACAAGGAGTATTCCTAGCAATGACAGTCATTTCCACAGCTGGTCACGTGACTGTATCTATATTAGAACCATCGTCTTCTGCCCTCAGCGTGCATCTCTTTCGCTGTTTGGGTGACCTGTTAGTTGTCATGTTTGTATTGGGGTACTAGAGTTTCCTATTTACTTTAATCACAGGACATAGTAATACTAAAGTATGTTCTAGTGATCTCCTACATGTAGTAGCTTAAAAAAAATGTGGGGAGCCCACACAGAAGCAGCACACCAGCCTGTGTGATCACGAGGTGTCGAAGGGATCAGGTATCAGGCATCAAAGAACAA